ACACGTGCAAGAGAGAGAGAGAGAGAGAAAGAAGGAAAAAAAGAAGGGATTGTTCCACTACTGTATTTAGACCTGTTATTGAATGTGGTGATTTCTCCTTCCTTAAATGGATGAAAAGGCAGGGAATTTCCCCCCTCGCTCTCTCTCTCTCTCTCTCTCTCTCTCTCATGTTCACGAGGAACGTTAAACATTTTGCTAAAAGAGGGCAAAAAAATTTTCTTCTTTTTTTTGAACAGGGCTCGGGAAGCATGTCCCCCCTCTCTTCTTCCCCTCCCCGCTTAGCCGAGAGAATCCTTGTCAGATGCAAACAGCAGGTTCAAGCGCAGGGAGAGGCCGTACCACAGGGAGCATTAGGCGTCACAAAAGAAAGAAGAAAGAGTCCAGGCCAGGTGAAAAATGAAGGAGCAAAAGGGGAGAGTTTGGAAGTGGAGGCCAAACTCAAGATTGTTGAACGTGATAATCTGTGTTTTGTTTTGTTTTCCCCTTGGTGGCTTATTAAAAGATCCAGCTTTTTTTTGGAGGGGGTGAGAGATTGGCCTGTATCTCTCCCCCAGTTTAAGACCACTTTAAGGCACAGGCTGTCCTTTGGATGAATTATTAAAATCTCCAGGCCATCTATATTGTGCTCAAGAGGGACACCCATCTTCGTTTCTGATTTTGGATTATTATTATTATTTTTATTTTTATATCCAAAGTCAGCCTTTGCTCTGGCTGCTTGCGTGTCGGCTGTTTTCTTTCATTCATTGTAAAACATATATCTATAAAATTTAGGAAAGGGCCCCTGCCGTAATTATTGGGCTTGGAAAGCAAACCTGTGCAATTGGGATATTTTTATTTATAAAAATATTTCCCCTTTCCTAAAGCAGAGCCTTGAATGTCATGCTGGAAAGTGAAGCATTTTCTTAAGTCGGGTCAAACCGCAGATGGGAAAGTGGTCAGCCAGAAAGGCAACCGCTTACATTGCAGGCATAATAATAATAATAATAACAACAAAACACTCAGCTTTGTTTCCAACTAGAAACTATTGCGTTTGGGGTGTTCGTTTGGCTTGTAAATCTTCATCGGTTGATTTATCAGCTGCCCTTCCTTGAGGGGCTCAAAGCCAGTTGCTGAGTGGTCTCTTTTCCTTTTTTTTTTATCTCTAACAAACCTGAGGTAGGTTTGGGGGCCTACCAAAAAGTGACCGGCTCATTTGAATCGATTAAACTTGAGTTTAATTTGCCCCCAGGACCAATGCTGGTTACTCGCCTCTCAGCAGTTCTGTATCCCTGCTTGGGATTGCCTCTGTCTACTTTTTTGGGCACAAAAACCGGCCTTTTAAGGCCGTGAGAGGTGAAACGATAAACCATGGTTGATAAGCCCCAGATAAACCGTGTGGATACAATTATGCTATAAGCCCAAACCACACAAAGTTTGTTGGGGGAGGTTTTGTGAAAACTCTACAAAGTGTCGCTTGCTTGACTCTTATGGTTTTTGTGTGTGTGTGTGTGTGTGTGTGTGTGTGTGTGTTTGTGTGTTTTACCTACCCACAAACACAAGTCCATCAGCCAGGCTTTAGGTTTTGTAACGTTTGCGAGCCGCAGGTGTGGCTGTGGTGCTGTGCCAGGTTTTGAACGTTGTGTGTGTTGTTTTGGTTTTAAACGGTGATCCTCCCCGCTGGCTGCGGAGAGGAAGGAGGGAGAAATGTGCTCTGTGTCCCCTGCACCTTTGATAGCTGCCCGGGGCAAACTTCAGTCCAGCCATGGCCTCAGGGCTGCATCGGTTGGATGTCAGCCTGCTGCCTTTAATACGTAACTGGGGGTGGAGAGGGTCAGGGACCTTTCCCTCCTGAGTGACACTTGGCTTGCCTTGAAATCGGGGGAGGAGGAGGAGGAGGCCGTAGCCAGACTGGAAGAGAAAGTCCAACTCTTTTTTTTCTCCCTTTCCTTAGAAAAATAATATCTGTCACCCAAATAAGGTAAAAATATTTGAAATGGGGCAGAAGCTCACTCGCTCACTCGAGGGCACTTCTAGAAAAGGAGATTATCCCGTATTTTCTCGGCAAGGCTTTATTTCGGTCGTTTTGCAGCTCTCCTCCTGGGCACGAGAAGCTCGGAGGCTTTGTTGGCATCGTGGGCACCGACCCTCCCGTCCTTCCTCTCCGACCGAGCGGACGTCCTGCGGAGGGATTTAAACTCATGGGGGCTCAATGAGAAGGTCCCTGCTGTTCGTGCGGCCCAGGCCTCCTCCCTCCCTCTCTCCGTGCCCGGGTGGCACCCCTTAACACCCTTCACCGGCTGGAGTGGTCGCCCTGCCCTGTTTCTTCCATTTTTTTAACCGTGAATCCCGGGAAGATTTGTTCCTGGTGCTCAGAGGTGGCATTTTGGGCAAGGGGACACGGTGAGCCCTGTGTCATCACCCCAAAGGATGGGGCCGGCCTCTTGGGGGGATCTCTGGCTGTTGACTCAAAATCCTCCTGTTTATTTGGGTGGCTTAATTTCTTTTGTTTCTTCCCCACCAAAGAGGAGGAAGAGGGAGAACTGTCATTTCCCCTCTTCCGCCTTTCATGCTGGGACTTGAGGAGTTTGCCTGGCCTTGAAAATCTGCCCTTCAGAGGTGTTGATATAGAATAGACTAGGAATAGAATAGAAGAAAGAGAATAGAATACAATGGAATATAGAATGGAATATAGAATAGAATATAGAATTGGATTGGAATGGAATGGAATGGCAAGGGAAATCAAGTCAGTCTAGACGGAGGCTTACAATCTTCCAGGACCCCTGGGCTGGACAAGTTCAAAAAGAGAAGGTTTTTCCACCATGGCCACACTTTGGTGGCAGATCTTAGCCCATCATCTGGCACCCTGTCTGAATAGAAGAGAATTAGAAGTAGGAGTAGAGTATAGAGTAGAATTAGAGTAGAGTAGAATAGAATTAGAGCAGAGTAGAGTACAATGGAATGGAATAAGAATAGGATAGGATAGGATATGTTGCCAGGAAGGGCCCCCAACTTTTGCTTGAGTTTGGGGGTGGCCCGTGCAGTCTTTTCTCAGCCCGGATTTTCTTGTGGGAAAGTCGCCAAAAGCAAGACATTCCTGAGCCATACGCGGTCAGCTTCCGGGTCTCCGTGCGCTCTCTTTATAGCATCCTGCAGAAAGATTTTTCATGGTGGGATGATTTAGTCATTCCAGTCCAGCTGGGTGCCCCCGAAGTTTTCGCTAATTTCAGTTGGCTTTTTTTCCAAGTTGCCCCCAAGGAGACAATTGATTTGTCTTTACGCAGAAATTTTTCAAGCCTTCGTTGTGGTTGTTTTTCTCCCAAACCACCTGCAGATCAAACTTTGAAATTATTCGAACACAGTGCCCTCCGATGCCAGTTTCCCCACGAGTTTTAACTTTCTATCATCGGAAGAAAGCAGCTAGCTCTGAGTCAGTTTGGGCCATTTTCAAATGGGGGCCTAATCCCCCCTCTGGGTTTAATTTTTTTTTCCCCCTCAACCAAATGTTGCATTGACACAATTAGTTTATTGTGTTTCTACGTCAGAATTGCCTTCTGATATTTAGTTTTTTAAAAAGGTCTCATTTGAAAGCTAACTGCATTCTGATCCGTTCCCACCACCCCCTTGGCACGTGCTAAAGAGGGTGGCAATGCTTGTTTGTCTGGGCCCCACAGATTTCTCCAGGTCCCCAAATCCAGAGCAGGAACTGCGAGGGAGGACTCTCCGGCAAAGGCCAGGTGAGTGGTACACTTTTGGTAGTTCACTTCTCACACCCAGGTAGGTAGGCAGGAGAGGGATGGCTGAAGCCAAGTTCCTAGAAATTTTCCGAGAAAGATTTAGAAATGTTCTACCACGCCTGCCTTTGTAGAGGTGCCACACATGAAACAATGCACAAGTTAATTTCTTTTACCTTTGGTGGCAGACCTTGGGCTTTGTCCCCACTTCCCTTTTAACTCCTTGAAGGTGTGAGCCAAGCCCCCTTCCTGGCCAAGGGCAGAGGGGGGGGGTCCTTCTGGAGACGATGCCTTGTGCCCCAACAGCCTCTCTTGGTTCCCAGGGTGTTACAAAACGCATCGCCTTGCCTGGGGTGGTTGTAGGAGCAGCCTGTGCCAAGCAAGATGCTTGAAAGTGCCCTGCCCTCAACCCCAGCTGGATCGCCCTGCACCTCTAAGGTGTGGCTGGGAGCTACCTTCGTAGCCTTTGTGTGCATGCAAACACACACACACACACACACACATTGCCTAACGCCTTCTTTTGGCAAGAAAGCAAAGTGGCAAAGCATCTGGCTGGTGCAATTCTTCTCCCAAGCCAAGCACGCCCATTGAAATTCCAGCAAAGGGCCAGAACTGGGAAGAAGAAGGAATTAACACGGGGTGCCTGTTATTGCCACAGAAGCAAATCGGTGGCCTCGGGAGAAATCTGAGTTTGGGTAAATTTGAACGCTCAGCTCTCTCCTTTGTCCCTTTCTCTCATTTTCCCCACCCCCAAAAACTGGCGAGTAGAGCCTGCCTGTTTGGGTCAGAGAGGCTGCTCTTTGCAGGGTTTTTTTTTTTTACTCTCATTTTACTCAGAAGCAACTGCATGAAAGTGGACTTAATCCCCCAGGAAGGTACAAGAAGCCT